CAACACTAACACTACAACACTACATCATAGAATACCATGGCACACTACACTACATCATCCAATACTATGGCACTCTGTACCACATTACATCCCAGCATACTTCTCCAGATAACACCCTACCACACCATAACACTAACACTACAACACTACATCATAGAATACCATGGCACACTACACTACACCGTACCACACCACATTACATCCCACCATACTTCACCACACACCACACCACACCACAAGACACCATGTCACACTAACATATCATACACAGCCACGATAAACTACACTACAACATAAAAATTATCACAATATACCACACTACATTACACCACATCACACAACATGCTACTACACCAAACCTACACTACACCAATCAAACAGCCTAGTACATAACTTGACTGTGTGTTCCTGATATTATGGGGTTAATCTTACCAGATAGGAGGGCCTTCCATTGACTGTACTACAGGCGAGAATGTCCTCTTCAAAGTATGAGAAAACAAGGGTGACTTAAGGTGCTTGACGACAGTCTCAAACAGTGCCTGACCACTAATCTGGGGGTGGTCTTCGGACGAAGGAAATGCCTTGTTGGATGCTGTAAGGGCTGCGGCACTGGCCTTTGCTACCGCAGTGCTCTGTGTTGCAGTTGTTGGTGATGCTGTTTGGGTGGTTGTTCGTTGCTGTTGAACATATTCATCAAATTATATAGTTTTGACTTGATTCATGGCTTAACAACTACTGTGAAACACTAAACAGCATTTCTACTGATAATGCCTTGTTACCGACATAATTAGCCATTCCAAGGGTGAGGGAAAATGTGCATCGCGTTGCAGTGCTGTGTGCAGTTATAAAGAACTTGGAGATTGGCAGAACACTCGCTGTGCTTCCCCATGTGTTTCATAACAGCATGCAGAAAATGTCTGTCTAGTATTTTCTTCAGTATATCATAAATTATTCATCTGATTCTATCTGAACAAAGACTGTATCTACTCACTGGAGGCTTTAGATTCATTTTCTTTAAGACTTGTTCACACTTTTCTAAAACAGCTAGTGAAAGTCTGGGGAAAAAATTGTCATAAGAATGATTATCAGCAGTTAAACAATGATGAATATATGAAAATTTTAATGATTATCATGTTAATATTTTATATCTTATAGTACACTCAACAAAATTACTCAACTCTGATTGGTCAAGAGGAGTACAATTATAGCGTTAATTGTACTCCATAGGCAATACAGCCAAAACAATGTCAAAACAATTATTTTCTATCATTTTGTACTAAAAAAACATATAAATAAAATTTTAAAGCCGTAAGAACTAATCTTTTTTATGCATTTCGGTTGCACGATGGACTGAAAATCGGCCGCTAAATAGACAAAGATAAACGGCGTTGCTTCGCATTTTTTACTGAAATTTTGTTGAGTGAACTATAAACAAAAAATCGCACGATCTTCTCGTACAATTTGGAATTAATAGACACTTGTAATGTTTTGAAATTTCTTTAACTGCACTCACCTAAAGGCTCGTGCGATTACTACTAGTCAAGTGTGGAATATTTTACCTTTTGGAAGGATTTGTTAAGATATCCAAGAAATTTTTCAACTTCTTCAGGTCGTTGGTACTGTGCTCTGCAAATTTACCTTCAGTTGTATTAGAACTCGTGTTATTGATAATGTAGAAAATATCTATAAGGGGGCATGGTTGTGAATGAAGATATCAAGTCTGGAATAATATAGCCAATAAGGAAGCCATGAAAACTATTTAGTAAAGGGACCAATTTTTGGCTTGGCAACACTAGTCATACTGTAATGTTACTAGAGCATGGACAATAAAAATAAATCCATGAAATAAAAGCAAAATTGTTATTGAGTGATTTAGTGATTTTTTATCCTTTAGTGACTATTAACTATTCTCACTCATCCAGAACAGTCATTATTATCAACACAAGATGACAACAAACACAAAAGAGAGAGCTAGAATAGAACCAAGTAAAAATGATAATGACCTGTTTCTTGTGTATTCGACTGTTCTGGTTGACTAACAGTGACTAGTAGCCACTAAATCAAGCTGTTTTAGCGCCTATCAATATTAAACGGTAGATATACAATAGCCGCCACCCGGCTAGCTCAATTGGTAAGAGCATCGGTCTGTTGTGCGGGAGGTTGTTGTTCAAGCCTCGGCCGGACCAACACTCAGGGTCTTAAAATAACTGAGGAGAAGGTGCTACCTTTGTAATTACATCTGCAAATGGTTAGACCTTCACGAGGCTTGGATGATCACGTTAATGGCGGTCCCGTCCTTAATTAACTAGAGACGTTAACAGAGGACCACAAGTTTATCAGTTGAATTACTGTCAAGTGTTATCCTCTATAAACAAAGTTAATTATTATTGCAGAGAGTTAACTAGTACCTTGATCTCTGTTCATCTTGTTAATCATTCTGTTCAAGGGCTCTATGTACACTGATAACTGCTTGTGCTAAAAATAATGGATTCAAAATAATGGTAACATTATGTGAATCTCTGCTGCATTTCTTGTTATTGATCACTGATTATCATTTATTTTATCATTTATTCATTCTCACATTTCTTTCTTTTCATCATGACCAACAACAAACCCACCCATCCATCTATCCTCCCCTCTATTCCAAATCTTCAGGTTCATCTATTTCTTTATTCCTAAGTTTTCTTGTATTATTTGATACAACCAGAATAGAATACAAACACTTAAGAATCAAAAGAGATTTTGTTTTTCTGTCATCCAAAATGGCTGCCAGTCACGATTGTACAAACACCCTATTCTCCCAGTCCAGTCATATCATTACCTTTTCTAAGTACGCCTGTTCTTCTGCTGCACTTAATGGAGCAGGGCTGGCAGCTGGCGGTCCAACTGAAGCTGGGTTTAATATTGACGCAGGTGACTGAACATTTAGAGTTACTGGGGTCGGGACGGATGATGTGGCAGGAGACTGTGGTATCATATGCTATAAATAGAAAGGGAAAAAATGACACATCTCACTCTGAGCATAACAATTCCATATCTTTGCATTTTACTTTCCTGAATCTTGTGTGACACAACCTTATTCCATGGAAGAGAGATAAAGTATGTACCTTATTATAAGTGATGCAGTGTCCCCATCAAACAGGGTCTAAAATATCAACCTTCAGGCCTTGAGTTTGACACACTAATTAATTGGCTGCTACATCTCTCATATTAGCCACACCTTCAGGCCTTGAGTTTGACACACTAATTAATCAGCTGCTACATCTCTCATATTAGCCACACCAAGGTTGAGGAAAAAGATAAATCAAGTTGGCATTGCAGTGCAATGTAGGACAGTTTGAGGGAACAAAATATATGATCCCCTAAAAGTCCCACAATGCACTGCAATGACTAATCACATTTCACAGCACTACCACACTACCACACTACAATATTTGTATATTGCATATATTAATATGAAGAGGAAAGTAAGAGACCCAGGAAACCAACCTGTTGTGGGGAAGGGGTCATGCCATGCTGTATCCCAGGAGCTGGAGACGGAGTTGGTTGGTAGGCTGGTGAAGGAATAATAGGTTGACTGGTTGCAGGTGAAGGATGCGATGCTGGTGTCCTCATAGCAGGTGATGGCACAGTTTGCATGCGAGCTTGCATCTGCGACACTAAAAATAGTACCAAATATGAATCTTATTAAATGGACAATACCAGCCTTTTGTTTTCTTTAAATCGTCCTTGTTTTATGAGGGTAGCACTCAACAGCCAATGGCTGATAAACCTATGGCCCTCATTCTGTGATTGAATTGGGATTTAGAAGTTGATTTTTGCAGAGGGAGAAAAACCAGAGAACCAGGAAGAAAACCCTCTAAGCACAAAAGAGTTAGTTTCTGTAGGCTCCCCTTACTTTAAGGTAAAAAGGGGCATTTCAATAACCTGCACTTCATACCTGTGGATGATACAGCATGTGACTGCTGTCCATGTTGTGAAGAAACCATCTGAGGAGAAGGATGCGACTGGTTCATAGCAGAAACAGTTGCAGGGTGTCCATGGACAGGCTGTTGCTGAACCGGCTGAGATGTCACCTGCATTTGCTGTTGATTTGGAAGGTTGCTGGTGTATTGCTGATGTTGTTGCATGGCTTGTGTTAATTGTGCCATTGTTTGTGCATTCATCGGTTGCTGCTGCTGTTGTTGCTGACCCATCTAATAAATAACAAATGCTATTCAATGCTGGATTTCAATCAGTAAACAAACGTATATTAATACTCCAGTTTTGAATTCTCTGTTGTACAGGATAAGTCTTGATTTCGTACAGGATTACTTTCATATGGTATGTTTTGCGCTGTCGAAGTTGTGCCTTCTTTACTATACTGTTAGTATTTGTGGAAATATTTTGACACTGTAATAAGGCTAATCCAGAGTAAATGAGGCTATGATCAAAGATTCTAAATTGTTCTATTTTATTATCTGGTCCGAATAGTGGTCAAACACTTCCACCATGTGCTGTCATTCCAAAAGAATTCTATTGAAAACTTGTGGTTCAGCTGATGAACATTCTGCACAAGACAGGAAATTACATCAAGTAAAACCCAGCAATTGAACTAAGCTGTGAGGACAGAAGAATTCCCCAGCTTCCTTAGCACCTACCATACTGTAGATAAGTTTTGTGGAAGCCATGTTGTTCTCCTATGGGGAACAAAGTTTCTTTTAAAATCATTGGACTGTTTTGGTGGTAAAATCCCTCTGTTACAGAAGTTACCCTGCTAAAATTATACATTAAGGTGGTTGCCTACTTTAGAAAACTGAAGCAACTGTGCATGCTCCTATGCAACAATAATGATGCCATTATTTTGAGCTCATGATGTGCGGGCGCACTAAAACAGCTTAAAACAGCCAATGATCTTCAAACTTTTATTGAGGACCCATATTTTATTGAGGACCCATATTTTGAGATACAACATGGCAAAACCCAAACATTTTGAACAGATTTGGGTTCAAAGAATTGTGATTCAAAACCTTTTTCATGGATTTTTTTGTAGTAGCCAGCCACCTTAACCTGGAATCATGAAAGGTATATTTGGAGACTTACATTTCTGAAGGTCATTTGATGGGGTTGATATGAGGCGTTACTGACTGACGTCATTGGAGCTGTACTTATTTGTGGCGTGTACATTGGTCTCATGCCTGACACTTGGTTTACAGTCTGCATTTGAACTTTGGGAACCATTTGTGGCATATTCTGACCTGGCTGACCTATCAATTATACACAGAGGTTATTGACCAAATGTGAGGTAAGGTTGGGAGATATTATTCAAATATAGTTATGTGATTCATACAAAAAATTATATCAGTTCTATATCTACTGAACCAGAATGGTCAATGTTTTATTGTCTTAGCATCGACTTTACCATCGTATTGATCATAATTATTGGTTATTATCAGTATTGTCATCATCATCACTACCTTTACAAGCAATCTCCTTCTCATCAGCATCAGCATCATCATTAACATTACTAACATCATTCTCATTGGTCATCATCATCATCATTGGTATCATTATCAGCCTCTCCATTATCACCATCATCATCATTACCATTGCCATTACTGTCATCATTATCCTTCATCAGCATCATTATCCATCATCAGCATCATTATCCATCATCAGCATCATCCCTATCACCATAATCATCAATACCACACCACACCATCATCAATATCATCATCACATAGCAATCTATCATTTTCAGTGTCATTATCATTCTTGAGAAAATAGCCATGTGAAAAATAAAACCATCAATGTTCAAGTAAACAAAAATGCTATTCATGTACAAGAGTAACATAGTTATCAATACTTTACCTGGCTGAGGGCCTGGTCTACCTGGTTGACCCCTTCCTGGCCCTGGAATAGAAATTAAGTTGCATATCAAGGTCAAAAAGTATACTTTTTTGGTGCATAGATTTGAAGTGATACAATGTAGGCTAATTGAATGGTGACCACTCTTGAGCGCTAAAGCAGATACTGCTGATTTGGGCAACTTGTGTTTAAGCTGATACTCTATGGTAAAAATCCATCATCTTCCGACCCTCCTAAGTTTTAACCAACCCTGATGGCAGGATCAAATAAGAGTGGTAGTATTTGTTGGTGAAAAATTGTTTCGTTATGCGCGAAAAGCATGAATTTAATAATAGATTCCTTTCTGCACGCACGCACGAGTAGCTTGCCTCGGATTAAGTCGCATTTGTATATAAGTAAGTGACGCTAATTTAAATTCAGTTCGTCGAGTTTCAGAGCAAGCTACCGGGTAAGTCAGATCGCTTAAACTTTATATATATTTTTCTACACAAGTAATGCTTTATTTTGCTTCGCATTTTTTAGATTTCGAACCAACTCGTATATAACTCGCGAAGAGAATTAGTTCTGAAACCGTAGCTTGTAACATTTCGTCAATAAACGAAACATTCAAAATCCGAGCTCACCAAGACGACTGGAACATGGCCGATGACGTTAAGAACCAAAGACGAGCAGCTAAAGGCAAGTTTACCAGAAAATTAAACGAAGTAAAGAAGGCTATCRACGAAGATTGTGGAGTAGAAATAGTCAAGAGAAATTACGACGAATTAGTTGAAACCTGGAAGACCGTTGAGTTAAAGCACGATSTTTATACCACATTCCTGACTGATGAAGAGGTAGAAGCCGGTGACACATGGATTCTGGAATTGCAAGATTTGTTCAGCGACGCTATGAAACGCCAGAATCAATACGAGAAGAAGAAAACGTCTACCGATAATGAAGCCAAGGAACAAGAAGAAAAGAAGCAAGCGGTTCTTAGAGAAGAAGAGAAATT